CTTTCTTCACTGTTCTGGAGAAGAACTGAAATTACATTGTCAAGTTCTAAAAGTAGTTGTGGTGATCGATGCAAAAAGAACAAACTTCCTCAATTGTTCCCAATGCAACTGATGCCCCATGACAGGCACTGATTTTGCCAACCACATATTTAAGACACAAGAAGAGCAAAGTGTGTAGACAGCTTGGGGATATTTTTCTAGAAGTCTAGAAGTAACAACTTTCATTTTAGAAGATAATCCACTGGACACAATATAAGCCTGGCTAAGACAATACTCCATATTTAGTCCCCACTTCATAGTTATTGTTGTGTGAAATTTCACAGCCAAAATTTCCACATCAACTTCACAAGGCAGGAAGCCCACAAACTCCTCTCTCAGGTTATGAGATTAATCATCAAACCTCACCAGGACAGGTAAGTGCTCTTCCCCCACTGTGTGCACCACATCATCAGTGATGATGGAAAAGACATGTGAGTCTCTCACTTCCCTGAGGCTTTCTTCCCTAATACAGCTTTCACAGATCTCTAGCATCTGTTTCTGCTGTGTTTTTGAACAGAACAATGTGTTAATGGCTGTGGTCTCAAAGTGCTTTCTCAGAACCTCTTCACCACAATTTATCCGGCACTCCCAACAAAGCCTGAAAGTTATCAGGTGTAAAGAAACCTTCTGGGGTTTCGTCAGGCTCATGCCCATCCAGAGGTACCTTTTGTTTTCCCATAAGAATCAAAATTTTGAATAGAGACTTTAAGTATTCTTTGTTTTCCTTCCCTTCAAGGGTTAAAGGTAAAATGTCTTCATCCTGTTCATGCCCCTGAACTTCAGCACTCAAATTCTGAGCATTGCTATTGTTTGTTTCTTTATGTTTCTGTTCCTGTTCAAAAGTTTCATCAGTTTTCTTCTGTTTCAATGTCCTGATTTCATCTTCACTCAATTCTTTTGTTCGTTTTCTGTGTCTATGTAGATTATTTAAATGACTGGGAAGATCAAATATTGTTGGTATTGCATTGTCTTGAAGAACAGGCCTATCAGGACTAGTTCTACAGGTCATAGATGTCTTGAAGTGTTTGGCACAAAGCCAATAATGTTTATTTATCTGATCAGGTGTTTTATCTTCTAAGTATGCTCTCCTACAATTCTCTACCCACTTCTGGCATCTGACTGGATCCCACGGAAACCTGAAGAAGGCCAGGTCTGAGTGTGTGCTCTTCCGTCTGCACTTGGGGACCATGCAGAAATTCAGCATCATCCCTGGACAGCCCAGACCTCCCCTCCCTGCCTCCTCAGGGCAGCCTGTCTTCTAGTTGGGGCTAGGGAGGGAAGCCAGGCCTGCCAGCAGGCTCTGCAGGGCCGGCCCCTGGGAGGCAGGGGCCTGGACTTTGAGCTTCTTAATAGCAATCATCTTGTCTATTTTGAGTACCTTCCATTGTTCAAGGCATTCAGCTTTCTAATAAATGCTTTTTAATAACTGATTGATTATAGCTGGTCTCTAAGTAAACAGTTCTTGAGTCCTTATTTTGTTACTATCAGTGATTCATTATTTTTAAAGTAAAACTCTCAATTATGTGGTTGGACTAATCAGCCTAATTTATTGGAATTTTAAATAGGTAATTCATACATTCTCTCACTCAACAAATAAATTTTGCCCTCTTGCCATATATAAAAATGCTATTTATGTGGGACAGAAAGGGCAGAAATAAATTAGATTTTCACTTCACATTCAGGATTTGGAGTTTAGTGGAAAATGTAAGGCAAAGTCTGAACAAAATAGCTGACCAGTCAGGAACTTTTCTTGTGTGTATGTGTATGAATGTGTGTGTGTTTGTGTATGTGTATCCACCCTCATAATGAGTGACTCAGTTGGAAAAAATGAGAGAATGATTTCTAGGGTCCCCTTTCAGTCCTTTCTAACAACCATCAAATTTTCAGATGAATGACCACCACATGGAAGAAACCCTTGTGTTGAATAAATCTCTCAGTATATGAAAGACATAAAGTTCACAAGTTCTATGTGGGTAGGTGTTTGAGCCCACTGGACTTCAGAGGCTATGATGTGGAAAGGCTTTAGAGGATGGTGGCTGTGTTGTAGAAGGGCCATTAGACCTGAGCGAGAGCAAAATATAACCAAGCTGTCATGGAAGAATAAAATGCCACTCAAGACCACTTTTTTAAAGAGACCAGGCTGAAGTAGGAAGAAATCTGGACTACAACCTCAGTAGTATGTGGAGAACAAATGATTCTAACTGCATAGCATTGGCACTGGGTACCAGTAAGGAATGACAGAATCAAACCAAGTGATGCCAGGATTCTTCCCGGGGAGGACCTTCAGAGACTCAGAGCACTGAAGACTTTGGGAACCTCTGACTTATCCAGGTATACATCAAGGTCAACAGAACACTGAGTATAAAATCCTAAACTTGTATGTATCCTTCTATATTTTCATATGAAAAAATTATGAGAAGAATAAGAACAAAATGAACTTTACTTATCTGATTGGTACCCTTATTTTGCTGGAAATTTCCCATTTCCTTTCTTTCTTTGCACTAAGGATGAGCACTCGTCTTTTCTTTCTCAAGAAGGGAAGAATGACCACCTATTTTCTGCACTTATTTTCCTAGATTATTAGGTCGGCACACAGCAAGAATGTGTTTCTAGATTTCCTGCTAATCTTGACCTTTTTTTAAGTGTCTAGAATAACATTCTAATTGAATTTGACAGAGTGGCCTTTTTCACATCCTGAACGATGAAGCAATTTGTATTTATTATAGTTAAAATACAAGGGGGAAAGTACTAAAAATCATTTGAAAAGATTAAATTAAATAATAAGGGAAATTTGAACAAGAAAGGCAATTACAGTAGAAATTTGAAAGGATTTATGTAGTGATTAGCTTTGGGGGCTTGAAGGGTAAAGTAACTGCAGGGATAATTAGATGTTGACACCAACTTCTAATTCCATGGCTGAGAGACAGAATACCCAAGGTGTTATGATTTAGATCTAAAATGTCCCCCCAAAGTCTCATGTGTTTGGGACTTAATTGGATCATGGGGGTGTTATACTTACCAGTGGATTCATCCATTGATGAGTTCAGTAGCTAAATATGCCATTAGGAGACACATCCTGTTTGGAGGTGGATCACTGGGGATGTGACTTAGACCGAAATATTATTGTCTGTGGCTTCTATTATCTGTGGCTGCTATGGAGTAAGTAGCTGTCCTCCACCCGGCCCTTCTTGATGCTTTTTCTGCTGTGGAGCCAGCCAAACTTAGAGTGAGCCAACTGGAAACTGTGACCCAAATAAACTTGTCCTCTTTTAAATTGTAGGTGTTGGGGACTTTGTCCAAGGGATGGGAAAGTGACCAGTGCAGAATAAATTTCTATGCTCCAAAGCTGAAGTCTAGACTTTCTCATAGCATGGTGGACCTGAATGGATGAGGTTGTCCAGGAGGCTGGAGGCCATAACTGTAAAGCTGGGAACCACCACTGAGTGCCAGGAAGCTTTTCTGAAATCTGCCCACTAAAGATGTTCATGTTGATGCTAGCAAAACTCTTTAGAAAGGCCTGCACCCTCACATACCAATGGCAGAAGCTCTGAATGCCAGCAAGGAAGCTGCTGCCGAGGAGGAACCCCTACTTTCCCAGTTGAACTGATGGAACAAGATACATAGCAATTGAGCCAGGAAGAGAAATGCCTACCTCTTTTGAGGCAAACCCATTCCCTGAATCTTTTGCTGTGAGGACATTATGCCAGCTGGCAAAGAGAAACATTTAGAGTCCTACTCCAGGGCAAAGAAGGGTGGGTTTGGAGCTAAGAGCATGCAGATTGACAACTCAAACAATTGCTATGTATGTACACATGTCTCCAAAAGATTAAAGAATTGACTATTTTCCACTTATCTTCAGGTTATAATGCATCAGAACAAAACCCGTTTTCCAATTATCACATTAAATAAATCACATTCATACTTATAGCTCCTCTACTCCTTTATTCAACAGCATACTTCTATGTTTTTTTTCTATAGATCTTGCTTACTTAATTATATTTTATTGACTTAGGACAGGGGAGTGGCTACTGAACTTGCTTCAGTTTTAGTAATTAGATCCTCTTTGCCTGGATCATACCCCATTTATTTTCCTCCACAAATTTGAACCTGAACTGTACTCCATAATCCCCTATAGTATTAAGCAAATGGTACTCATAATTTTAAAAATTATTTGGATCTAAATAAAGAGTAAGTGATTAAGGGTCGGGGATTTAGCTCAGTGGTTTCGCTGCCTGCTGCACAAGTGCAAGGACCTGAGTTTGATCCCCGGTACCAAAAAAAACCCAAAAAACCCCCAAGAGTAAGTGATTAAAATCAATCTTGGAGTGGGAAAGACCTGCATTTAATTTCTAGATCTTTCATTTTGGTTTGTGACATACCAATTACACTATTTAACTTTGCTTAGGCACAATTTTCCAATCTCTGTAAAGAAGATTGTAAATTCTATTACTGAATGCTGTGAGGGTAAAATATGACTATATAGAAAATATTTAGCCTAGCAAAAAGTAAGTCCTCAATAAATGGTAGTTATTATTAGAAAGCATTTCAAATTTCACTGATTCTTCAAATGAATGAAAAATTTATAGTTTCCAAGCTCTGCTCCTCTAAAACAGTATTTCAGAAATGAAAGAGCAAATATATAAAGATTTCAAGAAGGGGACTCAATTCTTGACAAATGACTACTAAAACCCCAAAAAGGTAATAAAAACAAGGAATTTTAAAAAATGAACAATCAGATCCGGTTTGCATTTCATTAGACTGTTATAGATCAAATCTGTTTTATTGTCTCATTTGTGTGACAGATGGTGTGACAACTTACTGACCTGATAAATTGTTTTCAGTGATTTAATCATAGTGCAATCATCTTACTGTATTTCTGTTCTCCTAATTTGAAACAGATTCAGCCTTTGTCCAGATGGCTTCCTGTATACACAATGCCAGTCAGCAGTCTGAGCTGTCCTTGTTAGACTGCTTAGCAATGCTGGAATCTTGGAGACATCAGCATGCTTATGTCACAAGCCACATCTGTCACTGCAGGATTTGTGTTTGTCCTCACGTTAATAATAACTGATGGAGGCACCAAGTCGCCTTCCCTTAAAAGCAAGGAGTCTGAATATCAGTTTGGGAAGAGGTGCTTCAAAGATCAAACCAGGCCCATGACAGTGACATGTAAGTTTTTGAATTGGGAATGGCAGCGTCAAATCTCTCCTAAGCAAGGAAATAGCCCCTGGCTAGCAGAAAAGAAATATAGTGCATTACCAGTTCTAATTAGAGAGAGGCAGGTTTTGTAAGGTAGCCGGCCTAACTGGAAGTAGTTTTTATGTAGTTCTGTGCAGAGTTGTAGAAAAATAAAGAAGACTCAATATGTGAATTTACAGGAGACATTCAACTTCAGAGATGAGAGCATAAACACATGGCTTTCTCTCAGCTTAAACTTTGAATGGAATATTTTTGCTTTGGGTAGGTTATATATTTATAATTTCTAATTTGGGTAACTGGTTAAACAGGAGTTAACTGAAATTCAGGCTTGGTAATTCAATGATGATGATCACTGTAGCTACGTTTATTCAGAGATTTTAAAGGATTTAGATAGTTGTATGTAATATAAGTATTTACATATACTAGCCATTCATATATATTAATCCAATTTAATCGCTATTAAAACCATGTTAGAATGTTTCAATGATTGCTTATCAGCAGTATACTGAAAAAACATTCAGCTAGCACCTAGTATTCTTTTGACACACAATCCTGTTTTATTCTCACAACACCAAGAGGTATAATTTTGTACTAGCCTCAGAGAAGCTAAATAATTAACAAAGCTGTGCAGCTAGAGTGGGTGGTAGGAGTTATTTCAGGTCCATATCTGGCTCATAATTTTTCTTTTAATTCCTGACTATCTCTGAAATGCCAGGCTTTTGTTTTAGCCTCTGATTAACAGGGAGCTTGTAGGAAAGTCCCCAAAATCTCTTATGCTGATTTTCTTCATTTGTATGATGATGATCATCATATGTACCTCACGAAGTTGTTGTGAAGGTAAATGAGGTGAAATGTAAAATACATAAGTATATTTTGGTTGAATCAAGCCAGTGTTTTTTTATATTAAAGGTTTCAGTCTACTAACAGACTATAGTAACTTAATTATTAATTTTCATTAAGACATAAAGTATAGTTCAAATTTCATTATGTTTAAGTTGTCTTCCATTTCTCCATTGTCTCTCTTTTTTATAGTTAAAGCTTAACAGGTACATGCATGGAAATATGAGTTATACCTAATAAACCAAAACTTAGTAGTTAAAAACCAATTATCTTTTACACAAACTTTCCATCCAACTGTAAATCATTTGAGAGAATGATTTTCCAGTTAAGTTCCCTGACTCTTTCTTTTCTGATGTCTGTTGCCCAGCTACATTTCATAAACAGAAAAGTTGAAAATTAAAACTAATTGAATATGCTTTTAAAATGCAATAATCCATCCATAACAAAATGCATGGGAAATTTAATATCTTCTAAAGAACATCAAAATACTTAATGAAAACATTTTAAAATCAAACAGCTAAATGTAAGTTCAGCACAAAGAATCATGGCTTTAGATCTGTTTGCTAGTTTGCCTAAAGAATAGACTTTTTCACTTATTGTATCAGCAAATATTATGCTGAGATTTGAGGGACATGAGGTTCAGATAAGCTAATAAGAAGCACATTTAAGGAAGCCTTGAACAGTCTCTATATTAGAATTCTCTTCCTCTGTGGCAGGGAAAATTCAGAATGGGAAATTTGCCATTTTAGATTTTCATCAGGACTGTAGTTGTGGCAAATTCTATCTCTCTGGCATAGCAAAAGTAGAGTTATATAATCTTTCTGATAATTTCATGCCTGTCACTTAAACATAGTTTACTGAAAACCTGATGAAAACAACCACAATTTCTAAAAGAAGCAATATTATCTATATTTTAACCTGCAGTTTATATAACACTGAAATCTGATTTAAAAGTAGAATTAGTAAATTTTATTGCTTTCTCCCATAACAGTATCCACAAGCAAAAAAATTTCAACTGTCTTTTAGTAAATTCTGGTAAATTATGTTGTTGTATGTAAATCAATTCTTATTTTACTAAATAATAAATGAAAAATCAGTAACTATGATTGTAACTTTTTGCCTTTAGATGGAAAATGAAGTGGTATGTATATGTATTATACTTAAAGATTTAAAAAATGAAAAACAAATTCATGATATGATATTATATATATATATAATAAAAAACAAAAGAGGATAAAGATGTACAATAAAACTGGCATTATGTTTACCACATACCATAAGGTCCTGTGTGAAAAAAAAAATATGGACCACAAATTATTATTGAGCTGTCTAGTGTCCAAGGCAAGAGAGATAAATAATCATTTGTTTTTCATTCAAGAACACACAGTTAACCTGCTAAAATCTGCTAGGTGCTTTTGAAAGTATTTTACTCTTCTAGTGGAAGGTATAAAATTAACTGTTCTTGAAAGGTCAACAAGTTACACAAGAGAATCATACTCTTTCTTGATACTGAATTAGAATAAAGTCCTTTTGTGAATTCTATGAGTCTAATTTCAACAGCAATTTTTTCTATTGTGTGATGGCAAAATAAATATAATGAATCAATTAAACAATTATTATAATAATGTTATGTAAAAAGCACAGAGGGAATTTAAAAAAATACATGGATCAGCCTAAATGAATCAGAGAAGTCTGGGTCCATTTAATATTTAATTATTTTTGAAAATTGATAAATTGCCTAATAGATATGCCTGACATTCTAAGCAAAGTGGAAAAGTAGTCACTATGTCTGATGGTGGAGGCTTCATGAATGGCATTAAAAACATAAAAGGTACCCTAAAAACTGCTTTCATACTATTTCTGTTTCTAGGATTGTAAGAAAGAAGTTTCTTTATTAGTTTATAAGCCACCTAATCTATGGTTCTTTGTTACAGTACTTATAGTACTCTGAATAAGATACTAAGACCTGTACTTCTTCTCCCAGTCTTTTCTATCTCACATCACTTTTTATCTAATTTTTGGAAATATTTAATGCTGATGGTAAAAAGTTACATACAATATCTTCAGATCTTGCTCCAAGACACTGAAGGAATGGTAGGAACATCTATAAGGATATTTGATATCAAGAAAACGAGGAGGGGTATACATGGCAATAACCTCCATTTTAGAGATGTTTAGTCTGAAGTGCTTTGGGTATAGCCAGGCAGAGATGTTCGGTGGATAGTTTGATCTGGGTACTTGTTTCCACAAAGAAATAAAATTAGGTTTTAAATAGAGCTACTAGAGTCATTTTCTCATAGGTGTAGCTACAGATATCAATTTAAAAATTATAAGATTTTCCTAAACTGAAATAAAAACATAATTTCTTCCCTAAATTTGAAAATTGTCACAGAATTGTAGAAATTCTTGAGGGAAATACTTCAGATATCATCTATTTGGTACTTTTGACCTTTTTTAAAGTAGAGAATAGTTAGCAAATATTATTATAATACAGTTAAATATTAACATGGATTTTATACTTTTTAACCAATATATTTCTGTGCATCATGCAAATAAATTTTCCCTCACATGTGTTAATGTGTTAGCAAAGATTCTATAATGTTGTACTCTTTGATCAAAAGGGTGATTTTTTACCTCTGATCCTAATATCTTTCTTAAGGGTTTGTGAACTTGCCAATTAAGACCATAAATTATTTTCTTAATATTCATCAATTTGATAAATCTTAGATAGCTGCATGAGTTCCTTAATGGAAATAACAAATCTAATAAATATTCCTTAGTAACCCTTCTAGTCTATATGTCTTGAAGGCTAAAGCTTTCGTTAAGCTTTCTCAGAAGTTCAGATAAAGAGTTAGAAAATAGTTTCAAGTGATACAGAATTTTGTTTTATGTGATTCCTTACTGGGAAAGAGTCATGGAGTTTTAATTTTTTTTCCTTTTACTCCATGAAAGTAAATTACAACATCCCTCAGAGACAGAATTTTTAATTCTTATTAGATTAATTTTTTTCTATTATACCTTTAAAATTCCTCAGGCAATCTAACAAGATTGTTATAAGATGCCCTCCCAAGTTAAATGAATCAAAATTTCCCCAATTTTTTATTACTTCAATCCATAGGCAAATATATTTCACCCACTTAAAGCAATTCTTCCATTAATAAACTTTAATTTTCTATACTACTTTAAGACATGCAGCTTTTGGTTCAAGTTTAAACTTTTCATGTTTGATACATTATATGTAAGAAACTTATAAAGTGTTGAATTTTAAAAACTGTGAATATTTTTACAATCTGTTTTATAGAAAGAATCAGGTCAGATGGTTACATGTGTGTGTGTGTGTGTGTGTGTGTGTGTGTGTGTGTGTATCCCTAGACATATATCCATATTATATATCCCTAGATTGAGTCTCTACTACATTAATTAAATAGATCATGTTTTTTTCAGTATTTTTATTTGTTATTTCTTATTCATTTATATTTTTGCTGTACTGGAGATTGAACCAGTGCTGCACTGAGCTGTATCCCAGACTTTTTTATTCTGTATTTTAAGAAAAGTTTTCACTAAGTTACCCAGGTAAGGCTCAAACTTGTGATCCTTCTGTCCCAGTGTCCAAAGAATCTCATAATATAACTGTGTGCTATCCCATCCAGCTCAGTGTTTTATTTTCTTTTTTGAATGCCAAAACTTTCATTTGAAATTTTCCCACTGCTAGACTATGTGCTTTCCATTACTATGACAAGATATCTGAAATAATCAGCTCATAAGAAGGGACAGGTTTGCTTTGGTTCACAATTTCATAGGTTTTAGCTCATGCTTGGCTGGATCTGTTTACAGCATAATACAGCATGATGAGAGTATGTGGCAGGGGAGGTTTGTTTAACAGTGAAGAGGCAAAAAGAGAGAGAAAGTGATGTAGGTCCCAACAACCTAACTTCCTTCCCCGAGGCCCTACCTTTTAAATGTTCCACAACCATCCGATATCCCCAAACAAAGGGCAGCCTTTTACTCACATGGGCCTGTGGGAGACATTACAGAGCCAAACTTGCTTCTATTAGGCTTGCTTCTATTTTTCATAAATTAATATAATGCCCACTTTCCAAAATCGTACAGCTTAGTGTCATCAGGAAACA